CTGGGCAACCTGGGCCAGGCTCTCCCCACCCTCACAGCCCAGAATTTCTCCCTCCCATCTCAGCTCCAGCTCCCTCTGCCAGCTGGAAACCCTTCCCCCTGCTCCCATCCCTCCCTGCCCTTGTCCCAAGCCCCTCCCCAGCTTTCCTGGAGCCCCTTCAGGCCCTGGAAGCTGCTCTCAGGTCTCCCTGGAGCCTTCTCTTCTCCAGGCTGAACACCCCAACTCTCCCAGCCTGGCTCCAGAGCTGCTCCAGCCCTCCCAGCATCTCCAGGGCCTCCTCTGGCCTCACATCCAACACTTCCCTGACTCTGACTCTTCCATTTAGCAGCATTTAAGTGGGATAAAAGATGCTCAGGAAAGATGGTGCCTTCTCAGAACCAACCAATGCCTCATCCCTGTTGTAGTAAGGACTCTGGTTTTACCTCAGCCCTGGGTGCCTGGAACCAGACCCCTCAGGTGTTCTCTCCCAGTTCCCGTGGGTCGGGCCCATCCCCTCTTAAGGAATCATGTCACACAGCCCAGGGAACCCCCCAGGCCGGGCCCAAGGAGGAAATTCCTTTCACCAGGTCTCCCCTCCAGCACGTTAAGCTAGGGAAGCATCAACTCTTTTCCCAGGAGGCTGAGAGAGGCCCCAAGTACCTTCCAGTGGTGTTGGTGAGGGGGTGGGGACGGGGGAAGGTGACTCTGCCAGCTGCTCCAACGTGCTGCGCTTCTTCCCCTCCTTGGACTTGGCAATGACCATCTGGGCTTTCAGGGCATCCTGCTCCAGGGACTTCATCCTGCCTCGGGAACGAGGGGGGGGACAGAGGCATCAGGCTTTGTGTCCCTGGGAAGAGGCAGCGCTGCCTTCTGCCCCCAGCCCACCAGAAGGGCCCCATGGAGCACCCCTGGGTCCTGGGGTGGGGAGGAGAGGAGCTGGCTCTGCTGTCCCCCTGAGCCACACAGGCCCGTGGGGGGCACAGCCCAGAGCTCAGCTCAGGGGCTGAGAGGCCACAGCTCCTGCCAGAGGTGGCAGCTCCCATGGGAGACCGACCCAGGCTGGGCAAGGAGCTGCAGGGGCTCACAGGAGCAGTTCTCAGGGCCTGGCTCTCCCCTGTGCTCTCAGGCTGCTGCATCTTGACCCTCTACAACCATCACATTATGGAACAGGCATGAAGAAGTGGGCTCAGCCCTCAGAAAATCTGCTCCCTTTTCCCAGCCAAGCAGACCCAGCATCCCACCCCAAAACCTCCTTCTCTTGGAGACAACTGCTGGGAGTCTGTGGGACCTCATGGAAATGAAGACAAGCAACAACTACAGTTGAATCAGACTGGTTTGGGTTGGAAGGGACCTTGAAGAACATCAGTCCCAGCCCTGCATGGGCAGGGACACCTCCCAGCAGCCCAGGCTGCTCCAAGCCCCATCCAACCTGCCCTTCAACACCCCCAGGAATGGGGCAGCCACAGCTTCCCTGGGCAGCCTGGGCCAGTGTTTCTGGAATTCCCTCCCTGCCCCTCACTGCAGCGGGAGGCAGGGGCAGAGGTGGGAGCACGGGACATGCAGCTGGCAGGGAAGGGGCTGTGCACACCTGGATTGGCCTCCTGACCCAGGGCATCTCGAGGCGTGACTCTGCTCTGGAGCAGCCCCCTGAGCTGGCCTGGCCCCGGGGGCAGGTGCCCACTGCCGGGACTGGTACAGCCTCCTGGCCAGGTCCTGCTCGTACTGTTTAATACTGTCTTCAAGAGCTGAGGATCTGAGGAGGAGGAGGAGGAGGAGGAAGAGGAGGAGGAAGAGGAAGAGGAGATGATGGTGATGAACATCGCAGCGGACAAGCGCAGGGGGAGAAAGAAACAGGTACAGGAACAAACCCTGGGAAGGAGAGACCCGGGGCTGACACAGCCAGGGGGTCCTGCTGGCTGGAAAAGACCCTGAAGATCAGTGAGTCCAACCATTAACCCAACTCTGCTGAGCCCAGCACTAACCCACGTCCCTCAGCACCACATCTACACGGGTCAGAAACACCCCCAGGGACGGGGACTCAACCACCTCCTGGGCCAGGGTTTGGGAGCCCTTCCAGTGAAGGAGTTTCCTCTAAAATCCCATCTCACACCACAGGCTCCTACACCTGACCCTGCCCTACACCCAGTGCTGCAGAAGCAGGAACCTCCAGAGCACCGTGTGGGATGATGGACCCAGAAGCATCGTCCTGCAGAGCTGCAGCTGGAGCCTGTTCCCTGCCCGGGCTGGGAGGGGAGCCCAGGGCACCTGGCAGAGCCCTGGGAAAAGCCCCCGAGCTGCTGGGGACACAGTGTGTGGGTGTGAAGCCAAGGGAGGGAGCACAGGGCACGGGTGGGTGTGTGAGCACAGGCCTGAGGGGCTCTCCATGTGCTTTTGCACCTGGGTCTGACCCCCTGCACCTTGGTGTGACCCCAGGAAATGGGGAAGCCAAACAGAGAAGCACATTGTGAAAAGTCTGTTTGCCCTGGAGGACGTGTGAGTGGAGGGGTGAATGACTGCCCAGATCATGGAATACCAGGCTGGGTTGGGTCGGAGGGACCTAAAGCCCATCCAGTCCCAGCCCTGCATGGGCAGGGACACCTCCCAGCAGCCCAGGCTGCTCCAAGCCCCATCCAACCTGCCCTTCAACACCCCCAGGGATGGGGCAGCCACAGCTTCCCTGGGCAACCAGGGGCTCCCCACCCTCACGGTGAGATGCCCACAGCCCCTCTGGACACCTGGGGATGTGCCTGCACCTCCTCAGCCCCATCCTCCTCTGGCACTAGTGCCAGGGGCTGCGTGTGCCCCCCCTGCTGTACTGGGGTCCCAGGGTGTCTGTCCCAGCAGAGCACAGGGGGTGCTGGGGGTGGATCCCATGGCCTGGCATAGCACGGATGACACGGGGAGAAAAAGGAAAAGCCCAAGAAGGTGCAAAGTGATGGGGTCAGGAGTGACAGGACACAGACCAGAGAACTGGAAAGAAGCAGAAGACAGCAGATTAGAAAGGAAGTCATTGCATCAGTGGCATGCACTTCAAACACAGGTTAGTGGGGCTCAGCACCAGGTGCAGGATGGGGCAGTCCCAGCACCAGGCTGCCTGGGGGCCTCTGGGAACAACACCTGAGCTGCTGCCCCCTCCCTGTGCCTGTGCCAGCAGCTCTGGGAGGGGATCCTAGGAAGGCCAGAGCATCCCGGGGGCTCAGGGGCAGCAGGGATGTGGCAGCAGCTTTGCCTGACAAGAAGGAGCACATCATGGTGGAGTCCCCTTCTCTGGAGATGTTCCAGCCCCCCCTGGATGCAATCCTGAGGGATGTGCTCCAGGCCACCCTGCTCTAGCAGGGGCTTGGACCAGATGATCTCCAGAGGTCCCTGCCAACCCTGATGACTCTGTGATGGTTACTGATCCCTGCTGAGGCCAAAATAAGCACCAAGGAGTCAGGCAGGCACTTCTGCAGGGATTAAATAAAAAACTGCAGGTTGGTCTTGGAATGAGAGTGGAGCTGAGGGTCCTGAGCCCAGCAGTACCAGATCATGGAACAGCAAGACAGCTGCTGGGATGCCAGGATCCCAGACTGGGTTGGGTTGGAGGAACCTCAAAGCCCACCCAGTCCCACCCCTGCATGGGCAGGGACACCTCCCAGCAGCCCAGGCTGCTCCAAGCCCCATCCAACCTGCCCTTCAACACTGCCAGGGATGGGGCAGCCACAGCTTCCCTGGGCAACCTGGGCCAGGGGCTCCCCCACCTCACAGCCCAGAATTTCTCCCTCCCATCTCAGCTCCAGCTCCCTCTGCCAGCTGGAAACCCTTCCCCCTGCTCCCATCCCTCCCTGCCCTTGTCCCAAGCCCCTCCCCAGCTTTCCTGGAGCCCCTTCAGGCCCTGGAAGCTGCTCTCAGGTCTCCCTGGAGCCTTCTCTTCTCCAGGCTCAACACCCCAACTCTCCCAGCCTGGCTCCAGAGCTGCTCCAGCCCTCCCAGTATCTCCGGGGCCTCCTCTGGCCTCTCCAACAGCTCCGTGTCCTCCCTGTGCTGGGACCCCAGCCTGGCCCCAGCCCTGCAGGGGGCTCAGCAGAGGGGACAATCCCCCCCTGGCCCTGCTGGTCACACTGCTGGGGACACAGCCCAGGACACGGGGGGTTTCTGGGCTCATGTTGAGCTCCTCCTCACCCAACACCCCCAGACCCTTCTCCTCAGGGCTGCTCTCCATCCATTCTCCCCCCAGCCTGGATTTGTGCCTGGGGTTGCCCTGACCCATGGGCAGGACCTTGCCCTTGGCTTTGTTGAACTTCATGTCCATAAGCACTTCAGGAACACAAGCAGGTCTGTTCCATGATCACGTAACAATGGGGAGCTTTGTTCTCTCAAAGGCCCAGACAATCAGCCAGCTCTCACTGAAGGTCCCACTCTCTATTTCCTCACCCTGGAGCCTCCCCAGAGATGACAGCATCGTTATCACCCATGTCTGAGCACAGGCACTGGAACTTCCAGGTGGTCCCACAACTCACAGAATTCCCTCTGGCCTTTTATATGTCAGGGGGGGAAGGATGAGCCCCTGGCAGCCCTGCTCCCAGCAGCTCTCCTTTCCTTCACCCCCCAAAAGAGACAGACTGTCCTTTGCATGCCTCCTGCAGGAACACCACGGGAAGAAAACCAGAACTGGTTATAGGAGAAGCCTGACTAATTCTTGAAAGAATTATGTGACACAGTAAATGCCTGGACGGGTTTCAAGTCTTCAGTTCTGAGCCAGGAACTTCTCTTCCTTCTCCAAGAGTTTTTCATCACCCTTTCATAGCTGCTGGGCCAGCCTGTGTGGGTAGGAATGCTCTCCTCTTGCCCATTTCTGGACCTCAGCAACTTTTCCAGCCCAGTGCACTGATGATGGGAAATGCTTTTCTCACGCTGAGGTTCCCGTGCAGCTCCAGTCACTGCCGGGTGTGACTGGGAGGGTGGGAACACCCCCCCCATCCCAGGAAGGTGCCTCAGGGGTGGTTTTTAGAGAACTCCACTTTCTGTGTGATCGTGGAGCAGCGTTGCAATGAGGCACCTCCCCGTGCAGCTGCCAGGGGGGAGCTCAGCCCAGCAGAGGCTGCTCCAGACCCTCCGGACGGGGCAACATCCAACCTCCCTCAGCACCCCCTGGTCCGGCTCCCCCGGCCCCCCCAGGACATGCAGCAGGCCCCCCTGCCCTGGGCTCAGCCCGGGGAAGAGGGAAGGGTCTCATGCCTCACCGTGCTGCCCTCCACATGGCCCGTTTCTCTGCCTCCAGAGCACGACGTTCAGCCGGGGAGAGCTCCTTGTCCTGGGCACTGAGCAGCTCCGGGCTCTGCATCCGCAGCCGCTCCTGGTGCCGCCGCTCGGCCTTGGCCGTTCGCACCGGGGCCCCCCCGTCCCCTGCCCCCGGGCACGGGGGGCTCAGCCTGGGCAGAGAGAGAGGGAGAGGTCCCACCCAGCCCTCACCTGCTCCAGGTGGAGCATCTGCCTGGGAGGAAAGGCTGAGGGAGCTGGGGCTGTTCAGCTGGAGAGGAGGAGCCTGAGGGGGGGTCTCCTCAAGGCTGAGCAGGATCTGCAGGGGGTCAGCAGGGGGGGACCAGACTCTGCTCAGGGCTGCCCAGGGACAGGCCAAGGGGCCATGGGCACAAGCTGGAGCACAGGAGGGTCAAGCTCCCCAGGAGGAGGGACTTGTTGCCTGGGAGGGTGGCAGAGCCCTGGGCCAGGCTGCCCAGAGAGGCTGTGGAGGCTCCTTCTCTGGAGACACCCCAGCCCCTCTGGAGGCTCCTGTGGGACCTGCTGGGGGTGACCCTGCCCTGGGGGCTGGGAGGGGGGGTCTCCAGAGCTCCCTGCCAGCTCCTGCCATCCTTTGACACTGTGACACCACCTTGGGAGATGGATGGACAGACATCAGAGGTGAGTTTCCCTTAAGCAGGTGGTTCTGGTCACAGTTTCACTGTCTCCACAAAACCCTTCTGCAGGCTCTGCTGAGCAGGAGGAGCCACCTGCCCTGTCCCTGGCAGCTCCTGGGCAAGGGACACTGCTGAGCCACTTACCCAGACATCGAGCTGGTTCTGTGCTCAGGCTTGATCCCATCTTCCAGTGAATTCCTCTGTGAGCTGCTGTTCTCCCCGACCTCAGAAGGCCTAGAGCAAGAGCAGCAGGTCAGCCACGGGCTGCCAGGCCCAGGAAAGGCTCAGAACCCTTCCAAGCCCCCCAGAGCCACAACCAGCTCCGTTTGCCCTCATGAATTTGCTTCTCCAGGGCTGGAAGATGTCCCTGGCCAGGCCAGGAGAGCTCACTCCTAACATAACTCACTTCCTTCATCTGGAGCAAGGAACCACCCACTCCCACACACACACACTCCTCAAAGCTGCCAAGCTCTGGCCCAGCTCTAGCCTGGCTCTTCCCAGCTTCCCTTTTGTGCTGGGTAGCCTGGCTGCTTCCCTTGCTGCGGGCAGATATGGGTACACCTGATGTCAGATGGTGACTGCTCCCAAGGGATGACCCCTTGGGCTGTAAGAGGATGCACATCTGGGCTGTAAGAGGATGCACATCTGGGCTGTAAGGGATCCTGAGTGCTCTCCCACTGCCTGGCACACTGAGGCTTAATGCTCACAACCAAACCACTGCAAAGCTTCCCAGGATCCCTGACTGGTTTGGGCTGGAAGAGACCTTAAAGATCATCTAGTTCCAACCCCCCTGCATGGGGATCCCTCCCACCAGACCCTGAGATCTTGTTTTTACTGCTCAGGTTAATTTGGATTGAATGCCAATGTTCTAGCAGGACAAAAAGCATTTCAAGCAGCATAAATGGAGCCTGCTCCACTGCCTGGCCCTAGTTCAAGCCTGGATAACCATCACCTGGGAGCCAACTGATGGATCCAGCCCTGCTGTCCTGAGCTCCCACACTTAGTACAACAACAGAGGTAACTGGGCCTTCCCCCCAGACCAAGAGGCTGGTCTGCATCTGGCTGCTGTGCTGCCCTGGAGCTGCCCTGTCAGCACTGGAGGTCTCAAGATGTTCGTTATGTGAGAAGTTTCTCAGCAGAGACTGGGCAGAAATAACATCATGAGATTCAAAATCGCAGGATAAGGGTTTTCAGCCTCCATAAGACTGACAATAATAGTGTTTGTGAGAAGAATGTCTGTACCAGAGACCTGGAAGGGAGAGTCAGGTAAGCACAGCTTCAGCTTTATTGTAGTGCAACCTTCTTTCTATCTGAAGTCTTGGGAGAAGCCTTTTCTCATTCCCAGTTCTAAGCCCAAGAATTAGAAAAACATCAAGGCAATCTGGAGGACAAGCCCAGGAGAACCAGGAAACAACAGCCTGAAGAACCCAAACCTGGATGCAGCATCAGGCCTAATCTTGAATTAATGATTAAACTCTCCAGATGTGCAGCTGAAGGAGCTTTTCTTCTGAAAAGAAAGAGCTGGAAAACCCTGCCCGTTTCCATGCTGAGGGAATGCTGGGCATTTCCCTGCCCTCTCCCCTGAACATGGCTGATCCTGGGACACCTCTGGCACACGTGGGTGGCAACAGTGGCATCTTACCGAGCTGCTGGGGGCTGGAGGCTCCTTCCATTGAGCCTTTCAATCTTGTACTCGACCCCTTCGATGATGACACTGGACTGCACGTTCCCCTCAGGCACCTGCTTCACCATCTCCTCCTCTTCTGCCTCCTCCTCCAGCAGAAGGGCACGTTTTTGCTGCAGCTTTCGAGCTGCCAGAAGAAGAGAGACCCATCTTACAGCCCCTGCAGGCACCAGCAGAGCAGCCACCAAACTCCTCCACGCTGCACCGGCCGGAGCTGCTCCCGGGTGATGGCACAACCCTGCTGGGAGAGCCGGGTGCCTGGTGCCTGTGCTCCCCCCTGCCTCCCCGTGGGGAAGGGTCCCCCCACCAGCCCCTCCTTGCACACATCCCAACCCACCTTCCTCTTCCTTCATTTTCTTCAGGTCGTCCTCTCCCACCAGGGAGACGCGCTTGGGGGGCCGGTCCAAGCCACCACAACTCACCTCTGGGGAAGTTCTGGGATTCTCTGTGTTGGTCTGATCAGGTGATTCCTAGAAAAAGAAAGTGAGAGCCTGGCCCAGGTTGCCCAGGGAAGCTGTGGCTGCCCCATCCCTGGGGGTGTTGAAGGGCAGGTTGGATGGGGCTTGGAGCAGCCTGGGCTGCTGGGAGGTGTCCCTGCCCATGCAGGGGGGCACTGGGTGGGCTTTGAGGTCCCTCCAACCCAAACCAGGCTGGGATTCCAGGATACTATGACTTAATACATTTACAGACAGGACTCTGCAGGGTGAGCACCCATAGGACCAAAGGACTCCCATCTTCCAAGGGGACCTCAAGACACCCTTCCTGCAGGACAGCTTGCTTGGGAGGGAACACATCTCAGCCTCCTCCCTGCCCTCACCCTTCCCTCACCCACCAGCAACACTCAACCTTGTGTTTCTGCAACTCCTGCCCAGGCAGCCCCAGGTACCTGCGTGTCCAGCAGAGGGTGGGACAAGGGCACAGCTGCAAAGGTCTTGTAGGCTTGCTTGACGTTGATGGGGATCTCGTCAGGAGAGGGTGGTGAAGGTGGCTTCTGCTACAGGGACAGACACAGAAGGCAAAGGTGACCAGAGGTGCTACAAAAAACCAGACACGGGTCAAACGCAGCACAACCCTGCAAAGCCTGGGGAGTGGGATCCACGGGCAGCTCTGCAGCCTGGGTGGGCAGGGGGCACCACGGGCTCCTCTGCTGCTCAGGCTGGGGAGGAAGGAGCCTCCTGGTGGTACCAGAACCTCCCTGGCTTGAGCAGAGTGTTGGGAATGATCTCTTGGCCGAGGGGCCACGCTGCTGTCATGGTCCTGAGGGATTCCCACCCAGTTCAACCAGCACGTGCCTGCTGAAGCAGTGGGTGCTTGGGGCTGGGACAGGACAGCTGGGTCTGGCCCTTGCTTTGGGCTGAACCAGCCACATTTTGTTGGTTAGAAAATGCAAGATAAACCCCAGCCTCACCTGGCCTTTCTGACTGAAGGGGCCTCCTTCACCAGACAGGATCTGTGAGTCTCATCTGGGTTTTGCAGTGGCTGTTGCACTTCTGGTCACCCAGTGACCAGTGTGCACTTCTACACACCCAGGGCTAATGGTCACTGTCTCCCAAACCAGAGTGGGGACCCAATCACAGGCCTGCTCTCTGCAGAACACCTGCATTTCACCTCCAATTATCTTCCTTTCTGAGAACTCCACTCACTCAGAAACACCTGGCAAGGCCCTAGAGGACCCTCCTACTGCCTGTCACTTGTCTTTGCTGGTCTGTTCCTCACCCCTCTTCCCCATGGCCCCCTGACTCAAGGAGGAAGAAGAGGTGGGATGACCTGCTCAAAGCACCACAGGAGTGAAGAGGAGCAGGGGGGAGTGATACCCCTCACCTTCCTTTCTGCTAGAAAGCAAATCCCTTGAGTTGCTCCATTCCCTCAACCCCTCTGGCTGCACTGACTCAGTTTCAGGCTCTTCTTTGTCCTGGACTGAGGTTAAAGTATCTTGTTTGATAGTGTTCCCTTGTGCACAGGCTAAAGAACAGCACAGAGATCTGAAGAAATGGTCATTTATGTGAACCTTGGGCAATTACATGGATTATTATTATTATTATTATTATTATTATTATTATTATTACAGCTGTTGGCCTGCAAATCAGGTCTCTAATCTGGAGTCATGTCAGACAAGCTCCAACAAAAAGAGAAGGGCCACATGGCAGGCAGACAAGCCTCCTGTCATGACCAGAACACCTGAATCTTTCTCACCAACACGGAGCCCAGGGATTCTGAATCTTTCAAAAACAATCACTTTGCAAGTCGTCAAACTTATTACCAGCAAGATGGAGTTGGCTCTTGCTGCAAGATGCAAGACATGGACAGACAAAGGCTCTGAAGGATTTATGACTCAACAGGAGGCAACTCCTCCTAAATAAGGAGCTAAAACTGAAACTGCCCTGGGGGTTTCAGCTCCTCCAGCTGGACACTGGGTTAGAGAAGACACAGGGCAGGCTGGGGAGGCTCATCTGTGTTAGAAAAACCAGTGTGGTGCACTGAGCACGACCCTGCTGGTGAAGAGGAAGGGTCTTCCCCCAGGCTGAGGCACAAGCCAAGGTGTGCGGCCTCTGAACTCCAGGATCCCCCCCTGGGATTTGCCTTCAGCCTTCCTCTCCAGATCAAGCGGCCCCAGAGCAGGCAGGGGCAGGCAGACACAGCTCAGCAAGGAGGGGGTGCAGGCCACTTACAGGGCTGTGGGTCCTGCTGCAGAGCTGGGGCTGCTGGAAGGGGTTGGGGCTGTCCCCGTCCTCGGGACCCTGCGGGGCAGCGCTTTGTCGCAGGCGGGGCAGGGGCTGAATGACCCCCGGCTTGGTCTGCTGGTGTCAGTCCCACAGCAGGGGCAGGCAGAGGGGAAAGGAGAGAAGAGAAACGAGCGGTTAGGGCAGCAAGATGTCAGTGCCATGCAGGGCAGCAAGATGTCAGTGCCATGCGGGGCAGCAAGATGTCAGTGCCATGCAGGGGAGACGGACAAACCCCTGCACCCGAGCTCAGCTCCTTGGGGTGCCGGGAGGCAGAGCTGGAAGGCACCAGCCCGTGCCAGGGGGGCAGGCAGAGAGAGCCAGACAGTCAGGGTCAGGGCAGGATCAGTGGGTTACGGGGCACAAGGAAGAACCTGCCCCACGAGAGCGGCTGCGCGGGGCAGGGCGGGAGCGCGACAGGGCCCGGGAGCGGCAGCAGC